CACATGAACTTACTTCACTGAATTTATAATCTTCCCTTACTGCCTCTGAACTCTGAACAGGAGACATATTTAACCCCCAAGAAAGTCTTCAGAGTGAGGATCAGACCTGGTCAGGTTCTTCTTCAGGCCTCTTTCACTTTCACACTTGGAAAATCATAGAGATAAATCTGAGCCTTTCAGTGCAGTGCATTTTGGGAGATATCTTATCATTCCACATGAATCCTTTAAGTCATTTTTATGAATCTGGTTAATGTGTATTGGGACAAACAATGGTAACCCAGTAAAGACACCTTTACTTCTCACTAGCTGCTCTCTCTGGTCTTTTTTATTCCTCTTGCAGATTTCAGTTGTGAACTCCAGCGAGAGCTGAATAGATCTACAGAGACAAACTCCTCCCACAGGAAAATAACAACTTCATTATAGAATTTATTGTTTGAAAACAAGGCATGGAATGGATTTGACTATACGTGAAAAAACTACCTCCAAGCCGGCAACCTACACACTAAAGACAGCAACTTCAATTATAAAGTGTTTACTGTTTGTTTTTGTGGTGTCTTCTTTGCAGGGACATTTTTCGCTCGCCCGCCATGTGGAAGATAATTGTAAAAAACAAAAAAGAAGAAGTAAAAACCAGCCAGGGAATTTTTCTGTGATAGTAGAAAGATTATCTGAGACTGCATCTCTTTAAATGTGATATTTCCCCACACATGTATTAAATACAATCACCAGAGGGGGTCACTGCATCAGTCCTATTTGATGTATTCTGAATATGATGATTATATAACTGGTACATCATAGATTTCATGTGTTGCACACTCATTTAAAGCAGCTGTACATTAAGCATGAAATAAATTTGTCTTGTAGGCAAGTCTGTTGGCATCGTCACAACCACACGCGTGCAACATGCTACCCCAGCAGCCAGCTATGCCCACAGCGCCAGCAGGAAGTGGTACAGTGACGCTGACATGCCTGAGGCCGCCAAGAGGGACGGCTGCACCGACATCGCCTCTCAGCTCCTCAACAACACTGACATCGATGTAAGATGCTCTGCCCTCACATCGCCCTCAGTGTCAGGCAGGTTAAAGTGGACGTTAATATGTGTGTTCGTGTCTGTGGTTGTGTTTCCAGGTGATCATTGGTGGTGGCAGAAAGTACATGACCCCCAGGGGCACCAAGGACCCGGAGTATCCCATCGATTTCTCCTCCAGGGGCAAGAGAAAGGATGGACGCAATCTCATCAATGAGTGGCAGAGCATGAAAACTGGGAAGGTAGCTCTTTTTATCCAGACACAGTGACCTGGAACACAGTTTTTTATAGCAACAGCTTCATGGCCTCACAAAACATGTTAAAGACTTTTAAACACGATATCTCAAGTCTGCCTTGAGCCAATTTTAATCAAGTTTTGATCGCAATTAAGTTGGCAGTGACATGATGTGGATTTTAAAAAGCCTTCACATCCGTTTTCATTCAAAGAAATAGTCAGTTGAGAACATTAATGTTGCATGAATGAACAGCAGACTGTGACTTGAACAGCTAAGAAGTGAACTCGTGCTGTCTTCCTCGCACTCAGTGTGAAAACATCCCGTGTGTTCCATGCAGGTAGCCCACTATGTGTGGAACAGAACAGATTTTGATGCCGTGGACCCTGACACCACTGACTACCTCATGGGTGAGTTTTTATTTTCTTTCCCTTTGCCCTCGTGCTATTTTCCTTACAACTGAAAGGTACTGACTGTCCTTGGTTTTCTCACAGTCTTGAATACACTACTCATGTTTTCCCTCAAACCATACGTGACTTATGTAATGTTTTCAAGGAGCATTCACACAAATAATTACACAACGGAAAGTTTCCAAGCATGTGTGCTACATTTGAAATTAATAATTTTATTACAGTCAGACAAACCAAAGGTTATTTGTACACTGGGGGCTTTTTTGTTTATAGTTCAGCCTCATGCCATTGATTTGTTTCTGTACGTTCCGTCTTGAATCACATTAAATAAATACATGAAATACATTAAATGGAAACTTGATTTACTGCTGCTTATTAAGATGCATTCGATTTTATTTGATTGATTTAGCTTTTCAACTTTAACATTAGCTCAAACACTGTTATCAAGGAAAAAGATGTTTATTTACCAAAGCCAGAGAGAAACATCTGGTTCTTTAGCAGCTAAATGCTCCAACATTCTCAGCAGCTTTTTGCCAACTCCGTCTACTGTTCAGTTAGTTTGATGTATCATGCCAGTGACCTCATTGTGGTGTGTGATGGTGCGGAGGAGATGTACTGTAGCTTCAATCATCACGCAGTTTGCAAAGTGTCTGCTGAAAATAGTGATGATAGTGGGAGGATGGGACTCTCCTTCCTGTTACACCTCCGCTGTGGGCTGATCGAGTAGATAAACTGTATTTTTGGTTGTTGCACCTCCTTATTTGATCTGCCTCTCACCCCTCAGCTCTGTTTGAACCTGGGGACCTGCGCTTCGAGGTGGAGAGGGACCCAAGCATGGACCCGTCCATTGTTGAGACCACAGAAAAAGCGATCCGCATCCTCCAGAAAAACCCGAATGGCTTCTTCCTGCTAGTGGAGGGTGAGGATAAGAGCTTCAACCACCTTTCACACACTCCCCTCAATGAATCTATCAAAAGAACATTGGATAATAAAACCCCCCATGATAGATTAAGGTTTGCCTAAAGACTACAATATGTTTAACTGTGCAACTTTGCTAAAACATGAAGAAGTGCCTCATAAAATAATGTCTTTATTGTCCCTACTGGGTTCAGTTGAGGCGATCCTTATGTTTCTGCTGCAACAACCTCCAGAATACATCAGGTTTCCTACGGTAGAGCCACTGACTTGGTATTGATTCTGCATGCAGCTCAATGAGTTTGCTGCAGTGTGTGTGTGTTTGTGTGTGATGTGTGTTTTTGTTCCACACGGCCACCTCATGCATCTCCCCCTCGGTCTGAGGCAGATGCCTGGGGACTCAGTAATGTGACAGTGTCTTGACAATGACTTTAAAATAACAGGCGAGAGTATAAATAGAAGCAGGCATATGGTGCACCCCGTCACTGACGGCTCACTGAGAACACAAGTTATTAACCACAGCTTACTTCACTGTCCAGTGGAACGGATGAAGAGGACAGGTGCTGGAGGAATCTGCCAAAGTGAATGTGAACATGTTCTCAACTCGTGTGACCAATTTATGTTTAACTCCAGGAGATATCTTTTAGAGTCACTTCAATCTGAAATAAGTTGTTTACTCACCTCTAACAATGTGAAGGAAATGTATTTTTTTAATAGAGCTCGAAGGCCCTGCATTGGATGTACAGGCTCCAGTTTTAAATTTGACTTAAACTGCTCCTCAACCTTTAGCTTATTAAGATTTTACTATTCACCACAGAGCTGAATTGCACTTTCTAAATGCTGAGTAGAATGAATACTTGATTTAGAGCGGTTCAAAGAGGAAGTCAAAGAGTCCTTAGAGACAAGTCTGAGTCAAGTCTCAAATCATCCAAGATCCTCATTTGTATTCATGTGTATTTCACTTGACCAAATTAGACTGGGGGTGTTTTTCCTTAAAACCTCAAACGTCAAAAATTCTATTTCCCTGTCGCTAATTCCCAGTCAAGTGTAAAACCGATATCTTTGTGACTTCAGTCTGATTCAAGTTCTACACTTTCACTAAAGTGAGTTTATTGTATGTTTTTTGATTGAGGATTATCAGATTATCAGTCCACCAGTCATCATCTTTCACCCTCTGCTCCCTCGGCGCTCAGGTGGGCGTATCGACCAGGCTCACCACGCTGGCCAGGCGTACATGGCCCTCCATGAGACGGTTGCCTTTGACTACGCTATTGCCAAGGGGCTGGAACTCACCAAAGAGCACGAGACTCTCACTTTAGTGATGGCTGACCACTCCCACCCGGTTACCTTCAATGGATACCCTTTTCGAGGACAAAGCATTCTGGGTAATTATAAACTGACTTTAATTTGAATTTTGTTGTTAAATCTTTTCCCCAGATAAAATAAAAATCTCCATTTATTCCTCTTTCTCTCCTCTTTCTCGCTGTTCCCCCTCCAGGTGTGTTACGTTCTCATGACAATAGACATCCAAGTTGGCATTTTGTGTGTGTGTGTGTGTGTGTGTGTGTGTGTGTGTGTGTGTGTGTGTGTNTGTGTGTGTGTGTGTGTGTGTGTGTGTGTGTGTGTGTGTGTGTGTGTGTGTGTGTGTGTGTGTGTGTGTGTGTATCTGCCACAAGCAGCTTGACATTTCCTCTGCTTTCTCTCCCATGCAATTACAGCCGGTGTAAACAAATACAGCCAGCAGCCTTTATGTCCCTCGCCTCTCTATTTCAGTCCCTCGCTTTCTCCCTGCCCCCCCCACCCCCACCCCCATCCTTCTACCTGCCTCTGACCACTGCCGGTCTCTCTCAGCTGTTAGTCTCTGTTTGGACTATCTCTTCAGATGCTGTTAATTCGGCCATATGATGATGAAGATTACAAATCTCACTATTCAGCCATTTTCCGTGGTTCAGAAGATTCTTGTGTTGGGCAGGAAGTGTATTTCAACTGTGCAGATTTCTGGGGCAGCACTCTATAAGGAAGTTGTTTATTCAGTGTTTAACACGTGTGATTTAATAAAGGTATAAATCAAATACTGAGCTTTTCCGAGTAAACCTGTTGGAAGTACTTTTCCAAAAATGTCTTGCTATGAAAATGATCACATAAAAGATTCACCCATTCATTCCAAATACAGTATATCAGTATCAGCCTTCAGAGGCCATATTGATTATGCATTTGTGTTACCTCCTACAGTTTCCACTTCTCTGCTCTCTCTTTCCTGTCGTTATTATACTCTCCTCCTTCTCTTCTCCCTCCTCCTCCTCCTCCTCCTCCTCGTCCTCCTCCCAGCGGTGCAGCAGTGATTAATGTGCTTGTGAAACACTGAGCTCTTCATCAGCGGGGAGACTCGCAAGGCTAATGGCTCATCTGGGGAGAAACACTGAGATACTCAACAAGCACTAGACCTCCTGCAGCCCCCTGGGGATCCAGAGGCCTGCCCTGTGTGTGTGTGTGTGTGTGTGTGTGTGTGTGTGTGTGTGTGTGTGTGTGATAGTGTGATAGTGTGTGTGTGTGTGTGTGAGAGTGTGTGTTTAACAAATAGAGAAGCAACAGTAAAATGAAAGTGATAACTCAAAGCTAAGGTGTGATGGGCTTTGTGCATTCTCCAGGTAAATCCCCACTGTGGGCCACAGACATGCTGCCTTATACCACACTGATGTACGGCAACGGACCTGGACACAAACTCACCAATGGCACGCGGCCTGATATTCGCAATGTCAACACCAGTAAGATGAATTCGTTGTTTCTTCATTTTCACAGATTTCAGTTCATCAAACTTTCGATCTGTTACAAAAGTCTTTCAAGAGTCAGTAATTCATATTTTTTTATTTCCTGTAGCTTCAGTACTGTTTTCAGAGCCATAACACAGTAGAATGTTTCCTCATAACTACCTTCACCCTCTCACTCGCATTTTTGTGATTTAATTTTTATAAACATTTTTATAAACCACAAAAGAAAATGACAGTTCAGTTATGGTCACGTCATAATTGGATGTATATATGTAAACAAAGCTGCTTTAAGCTCCCCTCCAGATATCTGATATGTGAGAGCCTCCAAACTTTCTGTGGAGTTTCTCAGCCTCCTAGTAAAAACTATGCACAATGCCCATATGACTGAGGACCATGTGAGAATACAGCGGGAGAATCTCCGGAGGATTTTCAGCGAGCTAGCATGTTGTTTCTAATACAAACATCTGAGGATGAAAAAGAGGAGCCGTGCATGTGGAAGATGCTGAAAACACTTGTTGTTTTTGTGTTCCTGGACAAACTCAGCAAAAAGAGTGTGATGTGATATTTCTGCGTCTTCCAGAAACCAAGGACTACGTCCAGCTCTCCGCAGTGCCCACACAGTCGGCCACCCATAGCGGAGAGGATGTGGCAGTGCTCGCCCGCGGACCCATGGCCCACCTCTTCCAGGGCGTCCATGAGCAGAACTACATCGCTCACGCCATGGCCTACGCTGCCTGTGTGGGCGCTGACCTGAGGCACTGCCAGGAACAAACTGTTCACACCACCGCCACCACCAGTGATAACATCGGGAACACCGCTAACGGTTCAGCGGCTCTGCTCAGTGTCCTCCTCAGTTCACTGCTGGCACATGCACTGCTGATGTAAGATCCCTTTCCCTTGTGAATCTCATTGATCTCATTCCACTGGCAATGATACAGGGGTCAGAGGTCAGGGCCTTAAGGGAGCGGGCTGGGAATCAGACACTTGGCTCAGAGACACAGGAAGTGTGTGTGCTACTTTGCAGAATTCAGCCAAGGTTGAAAGAAATCTTTTTAATTAGACACAGACATCCTTCTTCATCAGTTGAAGAAGACTCAATGGATAATAAGTTATTGAAAGTGAATTTGTCTTTGTTTTTACTTTCATCATTCTTGAATCCTTGTGTTGTACCAATAAAGCTGTGCTTGAATAGAAGGTCTGTTTGTCACTTTGTGAATATTAATATAAAAAATATATATGTCACATACTGCTTTCAATTTGTAACAATAGATTTTCAGCCAATCAAAT